CCTACTCGCTCCACTATTTCTTGGTTTAATCATTGACTGAAGTATGTGCAAACCATCTGAGAGCTCATCAAACTCCTCCTGCCTCTTCTCTTCCTAGACCCACGTGTGTGACTGTCCCTCTGGAGTACACAGGGTGCCCTCCCTCATGCCATGTCCTTTCACCAGATGAGAAAAACTCTTTCTTCAGGGGCAGGGTGTGTGATTTCAAACCCCCAAAGGCTAAGGCAAGCCCTGGCTTCCAGCTCAGAGGAGTGCCCTAAGGAGCCTGGCAGCCCACGGCCTTCCTGATAGCATGGGTACCAACGGCTGAAGCGTTTCTAGGTGTTCGTGGTAGCATGACCTAAGGTAAGGGTCCTAAGAACAGTTTTCATGAGAGAACTTTGATGCTATGGTGTCCTCAGCACTTTAGCACTGAGGGTTTACTGTTCTCCTGAACACAGGCACCTGCTACCAAAATTGCAGCCTGAGGCATCAAAATGTTATTTCAACTATCTCCTTAGGTGGTTTTAGGTATCTCAGGGAAATGTTTACAAAGGCTCACTTTGGCCTAGACAGGATGATTTCCCTCAGTTCCTCCATAGGCAGTGGAGGGGAGCAGGATCCTGCAGGACAGCCTAACCCACCTATACCACATTCGTGCCCCAACACTTGGCCGCACACATGGTCTGCACCTTTCCACCGGCTGTCACGGAATGTCGCAGCGTCAGCTCCACCAAGTCAGAGCTGGCCTTTGGAAATCCCTGCAAAGGCTATTTTTGGCAATAATCTGAACATACAGGAATTACTTCTGGAAAGACAATTTAGGGCGCCTTAAAGGTGATTGGGAGGAAGGTTCACAGTGGCACACCTTACTCAGAGCTGGCACACCCAGCAGCCCCATCTCCCTTACCACTGGCTCATGCTCCTTCAGAAATGAAGGGTACCATAGCTGAGCTCTGGTCACCACTTCCCACTGTGCTCAACAGAAACCTGGCAGATGCACAGCACAGGATTGCAACAGACAGTCCCTATTCATCTCTATTTTCCCATATTAGTCTCTGCAGACCAATCAGAAACAGTTCACCAAACAAAGTTAAGCAATGTCACAGAGAACTTTAAGAAATGACTCTTATCATCCCTCCTGAGGATAGGCTCAATGGTCAAGGCCACAGAGAAATCTTCCTTTTCATGTAAAAGTTAACTGAAGTTAGTTATTAAAGTGCTGCCAGTATTTAGGGAGGTTCTCAAATGAAGAACAGCACAAGATAACTGCACTGCCTCTGAAAATTTCGAGGATATATTTTTCCATAAAGTCTTGGTGTGATTTCTTCTGAAGAACTTCCTGTAAGACACATCAGGTACGATTTTGATTTGCCAGTCTGGATATGGGCTATGTGAAGTAATGCTTATAAATTAAATGCTTCTAGTCATGTGCTGTATTTCTTGTAAAATTTAAAAGCTTCTCTTGTGGAATTTTTTTGTGTTTTTCAAATGTTTATATTGCAGAGGGATAGAGTTTGTGAGTGTCTATAAACAGACTGAAAAGTGGGATGAAGCATGTTAATATTTAATTATTCAGTTAAAGTTACCAGACTTTTGTGTACTTAGTCAATATTTAGGGTAAATTAATAAAGGGAAAAAAGTACTCCTTTGTTAATTCCCTCAACAAAATGACACACATCAAAATGTGCATTACCAAAGGTTCACAAATGTGGGGGATTAGCAGTGGAGTTGGAGTTTTTTGCATGTGAGAGATGGCAATGCTGTTCATTGCTGGCCATGAGAACAGGATCAGAGGCCCTATGGAATAAAACTGAACCAGAGTGTTATCTCTGGGGTTTCAGTTCAGACCTAGTCTTGGTCAACAGCGAGTGAAAGTTTTCACCACTTGGTAGCTATGTGATGTAAGCTTGGTCTGCTCTCCTCTTCGCCGTGGGTGGGTGGACACTTTATAGAAATCATCAGAAGAATTGCACTAATTGGTCGTCTCCCACAAGGAGTCCAAGGACTTAATGACGGGAGCACTCTGGGAAGGCAGTGTGGGTTACTGGAGTAAGGACCTCTCTTTTCGGGGGTTTGCAGAGGATGTTAGCATCCACTGTGCTGGCACTCATGACAATATCCCCATTTTCTTTAAGATGTCTAAAATCTGTAATGGTGCTGACAGCCGAAAAAGCAGCCCTATATAGAGGGCATCTTATCTTTCTAAACATATATGGGAAGAAAATGAGAGTGAGTAAGAGGAAGGCAATACTGGCTGAAGTCATGGTAGCTGATAGCTGCTGACAAAGCCCATGGAAGAGGGAATGAGACGAGAAAAGCTCGACTAGCAGGTGACTTGCAGCACTGGTCATCTAGCTGCAGCAAGGGGCCGCACCGTATGGTCTTGTTTACCTGCCAGAAAACAGGTTGAAGGCACCTTATACCACACTTCAGGTGCCCAGGCTGGCTTGGTTAAACTTAATTTAAGTAACGCCACGTGGCACCACAGTCTTTAAAGCAGACTCATGCTCACATGGTTCAGCTTGAGGAGACCCTCGGGGGGAGGCTCCAGGTCTCCTGCAGCTCTAAGCTGTCGACCCAAAGCTAACCTGGAGGTGAGTCAGTAAATTAAGATTCCTATCAGGAAGGAAAAAACACATGTGAATTACTTACACCTTCAACAAGACCACCACTGACAAACCAAAGGAGACTGGGAGAGTTGTAAAGAGGCATACTGTACATTCCCTGAGATCGGGGCATTAAATTTGGCCCGAGGAAAGAATAAAGGCTGGGCAAGGGGCAGGAGTGACACCTAAAGTACTCAGAAAAGCTACAGCAGCTGCAGCACTGAGGGAAATATGAAATGAAAGAGTAATCCATGCACTTTTATTTTTATGGCTTATGAACATTTCAAAGGGTACAAATAGTACACCTTGTGCCCAACAATGTAATGAACAGAACTATTCAACAGGGCTTTCAGCAATATTCCTTTTTGCAACATCAAGTTTAAAAGACTGATACACAGACTAGGAAACAGAGCAATTTTAGAGTCTTTGATAGATAAAACTTCATCTTGCAAATCTAAGTACACTAAGATTTATCAGAGAAGGAACTAAATTAACCAATTTTTTCATTGAAATTTCATCAGCCTCAGGTTTGGGGCTCTAATCCCAACAGAGGGAGGGACAGTAGTGTACAGTTACAGGATTGGAGTATGATTTTAACTGACTTTGGATCAGGATCTTGAATGTTTGAGTATTAGTCTGTTAGAATAATTACCCATCAGTTTTTGGAAAACATTACAGATCTAATTTTTTTAAGTTAAAAGAGATAGTAAAAATGTTTAACCCATTGCCAAAATAGTGAATCCTTTGTGGAAAAATAGTGTATCAACAAAACCAGCATATCTAAGAAGTTCATCTGATATTATTTGCACTTCTACACATCCATAAATTTCCCCAGAATGAACTAGGAGGAAAAAAAATCAAATCACTTGAAATAGGTCAATAATGGGCCCCAAGCTGTACCAAAGTTTCAGGATGGGATCACTTTTTAATGCCAAAAATGTCACAGATGTAAAGCTTTCCATCTCTTCATAACTATGCAAACTGCTTTGTGCCACTTGAAAATCTGTCCTGTGATCTCTCCAAATATAGAGTACACACAAGTCTGAATTAGAAATGCACGTAGGCTATTTCAGCGCGAGTCAGGCAATAGACCTGGGCGAGGAACTAGTGTTGGCTGGGCGTCTCTCATGAGACCACCAGCAAGCACCAAGGCACTAAGGAGCATTTGAAATTGCAAGGGGAGAGAAAATGAAGAGAAACACTCTATTATCAGCGTCACAGAAGACTTTTTGCATCTTATAGTACATCTTCACATCCGAGTCAAAAGAGAATAGGATAGAATAGGATAGAATAGAATAGAATAGAATAGAACAGAACAGAACAGAACAGAATAGTTCAGTTGGAAGGGACCTACAATGATCATCTAGTCCAACTGTGACTACCAAGAGCAAGTCCCACAGCTCCTGTCTAGGACTAGTATTGTATTAAATATTTAATGGTGGCTACAGCAGACATAAAGGTTTTTAGATAATACATTTATTTAGGTGACTTTAACATGGGAAGAATGTGAAGCATCGAAAGAAACATAACAGCACAGTGGGCAGCACAGTGATGATATCAATGAATTGCTGCAAAATAGCCAGTGTTATTGACTGAAACGAATCTTGAATCTTCTCATGTGTAATGCGGGCTTCGAGGGTCATTTCTGGAGTGACCAAGGGCAGTTTCTATTCAGCACAAACATGTCAATGTGGGTTGGGACATGGCAGAAAGTAGTATTTAGGTCAGACATTGCAAGAACTCTTTGTGAGCATGAAACAGAGGAGAAGCAGCCCAGACAACCTGTGGAAATAAATCTTACAAATAACTTAACAAGGAGCACCACCGTCTTTTTTTACTACTGAGCCTAACCTCCTTGTCACAGACCCAGGCCAAAAGGTTCAGTGCTGTCTCCGAGTCCAGGAGAGGACGGCTGAGCCCTGCCTTGGCTCTGCCTTTCCCCTCATGTGTTGGTGGGTTCCAGCGAGCTCCCAGCCCTGCCGGCAGTGCCACAAAGAGAAACCGCTTGGGATCCACTTGTTTGTTCTTCAAGGAATTAGTCTCCCTTGAGGGAGGCAGTGTTTGGTTGTAGATGGCTGACTCGGAGATAAATTAACTCAAAGTCCATCTTGTCCACTTTTTGGCTGCATCTTTAGAAAGAAATACTTCATGCTCCAGCAAAACACTGCCCTGCAGTGGGAGGAGGAGGAGGGCAGGAGATCCCCTTGGCAAAGTGAAACGGGTGTCTCAACCATCTCTCTTTTGATCTTCAAAGGTGGTAACGCTCAGTTTCAAGTTCACTCATCTATGCTACGACTACCCGCCCTACAGTACATAAGGAGCTAACCCTGTTCTTCATTTCAGGTTTTTAAGTGACTAAGGCCAGAGAGAAACACACAGAAGTCGCTGTCCCCGCCTGACGTTTCAGGAGAAATGGTTGAACCTGTGGGCAACCAGTATGTTATAGCCAGACCTGTGTACTCAGAGAATTTGTTCAATGAAGAGCATGAGAAATTGCACAGATACCATAAAACCTTTTGGGATCACCTGAAACTATATTTTCGGTAAGGAGATTTCTTTTTTTTTTTTTAAGTACAGCTCTAAGAAACAGCCTGCACTGCTGCTCTCAGACAGCATGAACTCCATCCTGACAACTTCCACCTCAGATTCCAACAAAGGAAAACTCATTAACCAAATGCAATGTCAGATTTTTCTAAAGAATTTTAGCTGCTATTACCCTTAAAATACCCTTCCTACATTTGTATCCCAGGCAGCTTCTCTTTTCCTGGGCACTTGGCAACGCAGTCTCCAGGGAGAGCTTATTGCAACCTTTCAATACTTAAAGGGGGCTTATAAGAAAGACGGGGACAGACTTTTTAGCAGGACCTGTTGCAACAGGACAAGGGGCAATGGTTTTAAACTAAAGGAAGGTAGATTCAGAGTAGGTTTAAGGAAGAAATTTTTTACGATGAGGGTGGTGAAGCACTGGAACAGGTTGCCCAGAGAGGTGATAGATGCCCCATCCCTGGAAACATTCAAGGCCAGGTTGGATGGGGCTCTGAGCAACCTGATCTAGTTGAAGATGTCCCTGCTTATTGCAGGGGGTTGGACTAGATGACCTTTAAAGGTCCCTTCCAACCCAAACTATTCTATGACTATGATTCTATGAAAATTTTGGCTGGAAGGGACCTCTGGAGGCCACTGGGTCCCCCTTGAAGCACAGCTGTCAGAGCAGGTTGATGAGAGCTGTGTCTGGGTGAGATTTTGACCTCTGGCAGCCTGAACCTGAATGCTTCCCCCTTCATTCCCCCTCCAAAGACAGGCTGCGACTCAGCCGAGACGTTCACTGATGGAGATCTGGCCTCTTGTGTCTTTACAGCTGCTCCCCACAAAGGGTCAAAAAAATTGCCTTGGGTTTGTTTCCCATCTTCTCGTGGCTGCCAGCATACCGCTTCAGGGAGTGGATCCTGAGTGACATTGTCTCTGGCATCAACACGGGGCTCGTGGCTGTCCTGCAAGGTACGGCTGGGAAATGTGTGCTCTGACACAGCCTGCAAGGAGGTGCAAAAGGACTGCTGGCTTCAGCCTGTAACATACACATCATCTTCCCTGGGTCTCTGTCCTTGCAGGTCTCGCCTTTGCTTTGCTGGTGAACATCCCCCCTGGTTATGGACTCTATGCAGCATTTTTCCCTGTTCTGGTCTATTTTATCTTTGGCACATCTAGACATATCTCAGTGGGTAAGTTCAGGCAAAGCAACCGTCCTCATCGCTGGTGAAGAAGTACGTGCTGCCCTCTTAGGTCTAATGAACGCCTTGTGCTGCTCAGGTCCCTTCCCTGTCCTGAGCCTGATGGTGGGAGGAGTTGTCGTCAGGCTGGTCCCCGACGACAGTGCTGGAAATGGCACATCCACGAATATCTCAGCAATAAATGAAGAGAGGGTGATGGTAGCTGCGTCTGTAACCTTCCTTTCTGGGGTTTTTCAGGTTGGTAAACATATCTGTGTGTGCCTATATGCGTCTATATGCATGTATATGAATAGATGGATGGTAGACTGGCCTTCTCCTTTGGTTTCTGCTAGTGTAGTCACCACAGTAATTTCCTTCCCATTCCTACGTAACTGACCTTGGCTCACTGATTAGGAGACATCCGCCCCCCTCCAGTGACCAGGCACTGATTCATGCTGTGAAATCCCTGGCTTCACCCAGATCTGAGCCTACAGCCCACACAACTGCACCCCACCTACAGCAAAAAACAATCTGCTGGATAGGAAAAAAGTAGTTGTGAGAGTAATGTGAATGACGCAGACGCACCAAGGGGAATAAAAACTCTATCTCATAATAGTACAGTACTTGGATTTTTCTTTTCAGGAAAAACAATTCCTCCTTCTTTCCTAATATAGAATTCCTACAGTTCCTTCCTTCCTAATATATTAACATATTTGTACTTCATGAAACACTGGTACCATGTAAAAAGATGGGTACCGAAAACCCTAAGACTAAGGATGTTTATTTTAGCTATAAAATAAGAACAGGTTTTAACTGCTCTAGCAATTACTCTCATTAGTCTTATGCCCCCTATTGCTAAATCTCGACTTTTATTCCAAGTCTGGTGACAGTATTTTCCATAAGCACTGGATGTATGGGGTTAGGTGAAAATCTTTGTTTCCATTAAATATGGTTCTCTTTGTTGCAGAGCTTGCTTAAAAGCACGAATAAATTCAACTGATGTATGGTCATTTTGTGTTTCAGTTGCTTCTGGGAATTCTCCAGTTTGGATTCATCGTTATTTATCTATCACAATCATTAATCAGTGGTTTCACAACTGCTGCGGCTATCCATGTTGTGGTATCTCAGCTGAAATTCATGTTTCAACTACCTGTCCCTGGCTTTAATAAACCATTTGGCATCATCTATGTAAGTGCTAAGTGTTCGTTAGTTGCTAATGCTATTGAACCCTGTGATTCATATCTGACCATACATCACAAGGCAGTAATAACAGAACTCAGCATAAAAACAGCCAAGCAGGAGGAAACACAAGAGAACAACATAAGAGATGTGTTATTAGTACATGACCAGTCTTTAAATTTATTGCCAAACACCAAGTTACACCCCACTGGTCTAGTTAGATAATATTTCCTATTGTGTGTTAGCATATTTTAATTAAGCGTTCAACTTTGCCTCAAGCATTTAATTATTCATTTTTACTGGATTGATATTATATATCTTTTATGTGGCTATCATTCCGTGAGAGCTGTCAGATGAGAAAGGAGGAAGGAGAAGGACAGGAAGAAGGAGTGGAGAGAGGCACCTGCTCAGTAATTCCCATTGCTCACGTTTCCTATCGCACACGTATGTGTTGCTCCAACCCTCCCTTGGGGGGTGGCCAGGAGGAGAGGGTCGAGAGCCAGTGGGAAGGGTCTTTCACGGATGCTTTCATCGTTTGCATGATGCACATGCACATTCATTGGGGCTTGCAATCCACATCATGCCACAGGGAACAAATCCCAGCTGCCGTAATCCTTAGAGCGATTCAGATACAGGCCCTTCTGGAAGGGATAATGCTACTATGCCAGGACGTTACTATTTCTAAAGCACCACATGTTTCTTCCTGATTTTGCAGACTCTGGAGAGCGTTTTCAGCCAGATCACAAAAACAAACATCGCTGACCTTGTCACATCCATTCTTGTCTTGCTTATCGTATTCGTGGTGAAAGAAATGAATGATCGATACAAAGCAAAGTTACCAGCTCCCATCCCGATCGAACTCCTTGTGGTAATGGTCACTTCTCTTTGATTTTGCAATTGCTCCATCACTATAGTGACACAGGAAGCAGCCTTTTAACTATTTCTTTTCCTGTTCTGCATTAAACGATGGGTTATCATTTTACCTATAAGGAAAAATCGACAGTGTTCATGAGCTATTGTGAGATGTTTTACCTCTACTTAGTTGTTCTTAACTGAGTACATCTATAGTAAGATGTTATAAACTATGATTTTTTTCCTTGGATGAAACTGGCTGCAGCACCAGCCGGCTGCAGTCCCACAGCTGGGGCCGCTCTGCACCGCACCTGCAAGCAGCCACTGAAGTCCTGGCCATCCGTGGTTGAGCACAAAACAGTTTTGCCTTCCAGCAGCAGAGGGTTTTGCCCCCCTCCCGAAACAGCAGAGGGATGGGGGAAGCCTCACACAGGCAGCAAGCTCCTAAAGTCCTGGAAGATGTTGTTATAGATGCGGGTAGTGCTTTTTTTCCCCAGAGTTATTACAGCACCTTGTTAGAAAACATCTGGTTTTGGGTGGGATGTTCTCTGTCGTTAGTGAGATATTCTGATACATTCTCTTTGTGATTTATGAACATAAAGCCATACGTGTAAGGTGGCTCAGGAATGACATCTGAACAGCAAAGAGATGTGCAGACTTGGGGCATAATTCTGCCACTAGTGAAGAGACTGGAGGGCATGTGGGAGAGGGAAGGAAATGTTTTTTAATAGTTTCTTCATACTCTTGCTTGACTGTGTCTAATGGAGATGGGGTTTATTATCTTTCAGACAGTCTTAGCAGCACTGGTTTCCTATTTCCTTAACTTTGAAGAAAAATTTAATGTAGCTGTTGTTGGAAAATTAGAAGAAGGGTAAGTGATTTGCTTAAAATTCACCAGTGGAGTAAAATGTTCTCTCCAGTTTGTCAGTGCTAAATCGGTTCAGCTCTGCTTTTTGATTAATATCATCTGCTTCATCTTCTTTCAGTAGGTAAATAAATATTTCACTCTCAACAATATGAGAACACGCTTTCCATAGATAAAAATTACTCACTAGAGCACATCTACACAACAAAGAATACACTATGACATGAAATAATTGCATGCTTCATTTTCTAAGACAGCTGTTGAGCAGGAGGTTACTATTTGTCCCTTTTACTGAGCTACTCACTCCTGAACCCCTTCATTTCCCTCAAAGTACATGCATGGTTCA